GTTGTATGAGGTCTTGTTTAAAAACTAAATCCTCTAGACAACTACTACACAAGCAGGTAATTATACCCTAATATCAGGTTATTAAAAAACATAGTTAATATTTAATTTTTGACAATGGTACGATAAGAGTCCCTACTGAATGCAAATACAGATCAAACTGCTGAGTTGTTTATTTTGTTTATTAAGGGCGAAACTATGAATCGGATTAATTGTAATTAATCGATTATTGAAATAATCATAAGCTAATTTAGTAATCGATTAATCATTAATTAGAGTATAGAGACTCTAATAAAACATGCCTGGAGCTGACAGAGCAACCCACTAAGAGCAGTAATTATATTTAAAAAAATGTAAACATTTGTTATGTAAGATAAAAGTATTTTTTGTCTGTCAATATGCTCTGTCACGATCTGCTCTGATAGCTGGCCTTAATTGCTCATTTCACCCACCTGCCTAGTTCCTAGATCATCTCTGATCTCATCCACCTATAGGTTCTGCTTTATATTCAGTCCAGCCCAGCTATCAAGACCAGATTCTTGTTTGATTTCTCTCTGTCAGTTTCGTTGGTTAGATTTATTTCCTAGGTTCATGTTCCAGTGAAGAGTTCTCAAGCCAGTGTCTTCAGGCGAGTTATTCCTTAACCAGTAGTGAGAGCATTTCAGCGTTTCCCTAGAGGTTCTGATTTCCTGATTCCGTTCCCTCTCACCCACTGGCCCTGCCTGCCCCTGCCTGATCTGTTCACCTGAATCACAGTTGGACTCCTGTTGGATTCTGCCTGTGTGTGTGTTTCTGTCTGAGCTGGATGCTCGACGCATGGGACTCTGAACCTGCTTCATGCTGTAATGGATTAATGGAACCCAGATCTGTCCATTCCTGAGTGGATCGGAACCCCTGACCTGACTGCAAACTCCTGGATTCCAGTACTACTCCAGTCTGATCTTAATCCCTGTCCTGGACCAGAGTCCAGCCTGCTCACTGGGGTTGCTGCTGTGCCACCTTGAATACTGGCTCCATCTGTCCCCTTTTATGACACTATCCAGAAATCCTCAAGTGAAAAAGTTTGAATTTCATCTGGTTTATTTTGGCAAAACATCTTCTTTAAGGGACCGTTTGGTTATCTGATTAATGGATTAATTGAAAAAATAACTGACAGATTAATTGATTTGCAAAATAATCGTTAGTTGCAGCCCTAATTTTATTTTAGAAAGTGCATACTGCATTAATATCAGCTGGCTGGCTCAAGTGAGTCCTGCAAACAGGAAGCCTGGGTTCGTATCCCAGCTGGGGGGAATGAGCTGCCAGTGTGGATTCTTAGGCAAGACTCTTCACGCTGATGCCTGCTTTGGGAAGTGGTGGCCTAATGGTTAGGACATAGAGCTTGCACATCTGAGTTCAAGCCCCACTCTGGGTTCCTGAGCAAGACCCTTAACCCCCACACTGCTCCCCAACGGGCTCTGTTGGTAAATCCACATGACCCTTGTGGTCAAAATGTGACTGCTCTCCACCTGGGTTTTCAGAAGTATCGATACACAGAAGCTACTAATTTGGCAAAGTCATACTGAATTCAAGTGTTAAAGTTTTAATTTTAGATTTCTACATTATTTGTACATTAAAGGAATAAAATTACAAATGACCTTAAAATACTGTCAAATTGTGTAACATTTGGGTTATTCATTTCACATTTATTTGACTCATGTAACTAAAATCTGTGATACTGTTAAAAGAATTTTCCTGTTGAGACTGAAAAAGGTTAATGTGTATTATTACACATTAACAAATGTGTATTTGGGCTTTTTGATTATTTGGCATTTTTACTCCCATTATTTTGAAAAGGCTTTCAAGTATCTAATGTTTTCCTGGGCATTGTCGAGTTTGACATTCTAGAACCGGGACAACCGTGCTCTCTACTGCTGAAAAGTTTTAGAGAACTGGATAGTTTAGAAAAGAACAGTAGCGCTGAATGTATTCCTACTGACCCTAATCCACTACAGTTCAGGCTAGGGCTGCAACTAACGACTATTTTGCAAATCGATTAATCTGTTGAATATTTTTTCAGTTTATAATCGGATAGCCAAAGGGTCCTTAAAGACTTTATGCAAAATTAAACCAGATGGAGCTAAAACTTTTCCACTTAAGAAGTTCAGAATAGAGCATAGTAAAGGTAGAAAAAGTTTTTTTTTTCCTTAATCTTCAATCTTTGCAAAATTACTACACTAATTGGGTCTCTTTATAAGCTAAAGGAATATTTTACAGTTTCTATACAGGAGTTAACGATAAAGCGATTACTAAATTAGATAATGATTATTGCAATAATTGATTAATCCGATTAATTGTTTTAGCCCTAGTTCAGATACAACAATTTACTCTTGAACTTTATGTCCAGCTGTGTAAATGAAACACAATCCTATGCATCATTTCTTTGGTTGCTGTAGCCTGATGATTTTCCCGACTAGACTCAATTCCCTTTTATTCCTATAACTTCCTTGTTTATGGAGATTTTTTAATTTAGTCTCCAAAAGCGTGATATTTAGTGCTATTCCTAGAATCAAATACGTTCTTATTTCATTTCTTAAATCTGCTGTCATTGTCACAGACAGACTAGTTCTAACTTAACTGAGATAATTACCAAGAGGAAGATTCAAGTTTAAAATGAATGCAGCTTTATTTAGAATAAAAACATTTAAATTGAACCTCACGTAATCTAAAATAATCAGATTGGAAAGGGATTATTCAGAATTTGCTGGAGATTCAGAACTGCTATCTAAGGAGTCCTCCTCAAAAACAATTTATCCTTTAAATAAGTTTCAAATTTTGATATTTTAATTTCTTGATGAAGCTTATTTACAGACAAAGAAGGTTTTTCATCTTTGATGCAAATATTTTTTATATATTCCGTACAGTTTTGCCTTAAATACTTGTCGGAGTTGGTTTCTATTTTATCAGACGTTATGTTGTAGAGTCTGTATGTTTTAATTAACGATTAATCAATCACTGAATTAATAGACGATTATTTCAGGAATCAGTTCATCTCATTGTTTAATCCTGATTTAATCCATACACATTATGTTCTATCCTCATGATGCCATCTGGATTGTTGTTTTTTTAAGTGCACCAGTGTCTCCTGCACCAAATAGCACCTTTGGAGCTCATAGTTTAGCTGGGATGGTGTGCTTAGGCTTGCAAGCTTCATCCTTTTTTATATGCATTCGTCTTTAACTACATTTAACTTTTGGTTTTATTTGTAAAATATCAGTTTCTTTCTCCTTAAATAGTCTTGCAGCCTATGCTTTCTTTCTGATAGCTACTCCATTGGGAGTGGATAGCTAAGTGCTTAGAAAGAGCAGGGTGTTTTTGTTCTGGGAAGGCTGCAAGGTAGCCAAAGCTGGGTCTGTGAGTCTGACCTTTAACCCCAGATTGCTCCACATGCACCACCTAATGTGGCAGCCTCTGCTCTGACAAAGGGAGAGGCTTTATGCTTCCAATCACCCTGCATATGATTGTGACATAGTCAGCCAACTGGAAACTGCACCCAATAATGATCTACATAAAGTACCATTTTATTTTAGATGTTTCCTTAAAACATACCAACAGGTTTTCCTTCTGTGTTCCTAAAATGTTCTAAATGAACCTATCAGAACCTTGCAGAGACCATGAAATTAACTCCGCTTTGGTAAAAGCATGATAATCTTAGCCATTATTCTGGCAGTTTGCTAATAAGATTGATTTGGTAATTAGAACCGGCACTCTACATGTCGGTTCATGTGTTTTTTTTAAAGTATTTTGCATCAATTGATAGATGGATCCATTCTGTGTTTTAATGTAATTATCAGTGCAGAGAAATTTGACTCGTTGACGACTATAAAACAAGCTTTTTCTGGTCCCCTTAATGCAGGTTTAAGTGATAATTTTGTTTGATAACCGGGTAAGGTCTTACGAATGGCAATATAAGGCTGGATGATCTATTATTTCTCATACAAATGTTTGTCATAGGAATTAGCACATCAAATGTATAATGTTTCCATTTCTTATTAGATGGTTACTCCTTAATTTGTAACTCAATGCAATATGAAATTACTTTTTTTACTTCCCTCAATGTGCAGAGATACATAAATTGATCCAGTAAAAACTATTTTAACAAAATGTATAAGAAATAGTTACCTTGACAGCCACAGTAGACATTGAACCTATAATTAAAGTATTATTCCCTTTAGTGTCTCCTTGTTGTCTTGCCAATGAAGGGGCTTCCTTATTACACCTAGCTGGCCTGATAGATGTCTTTACCTAAACAAGTGATCCTTATCAATCTCTTAATTATCTTGGCTAAAATTATCTTGCATAAATTTAATTTCTAAAAAAAAAAAAGCCAGACTTTAATGTTTATATAATTGAACTTAAGCAACATTTTCATAGAATTCAAACCTCCTCTCACCAAAACTGCACAAAAAACAATCTAAATCTGTTCCCATCTAAAAATTCTGGACAATTTAATGTTGTAGAAGATATGTTTATTTGTAAAAACATATGTATGCATGCACACGTGTATATATATACACATATGTATATATGAAAATCCTCAACACATGTTTGTCAGTTTTTGTCTTTCTTCCTGACTGTAATTTTGTATTGTGACATACCCCCTGGCATATTTGTTTATTTATTTGTATATTTTATTGTTGACTTTAAGTGAAATAAAAAAAAGATGTGGGCTGTTTTATTTTTTTTTTGTTTTTTTCTAAATGTCAGGTGACATGTTAATAAATTAAATGGGAAGCAGTGGGGGGGGGGTTATCTGAACTATGGCGGACTTTCTTTAATAACATTTCTTTAATAATAAAATGCTGTTAAAATTCGGAGTTAATCTTTATATATATTTATATGTTTTAATTTGTTTTGCAGTGAAATTGCACAACTGCAGCGAGCATTATCTGGCAACCTGTGTGCACTGATTGTGCTCTCATTGGTCGGCTGATGGTGACGTAAACGTGTAGAAATAGACTCGATAGAACCTGCACTGCTAATTGCGATTCTTGTTTTCCTTTACTTAAGAGTTTAGGAAATGTTCGGACCATATTAGAATCGATATACAAATTATCAGGTAATTTACATAGCCCAGATTATCACCCTTATCAGAAAGACGGTTGTTTTGGCAGATTAAAATCACAGAGCAGCTCTATTTTATCCAACTCTGGGCTGAAGCTCTAAGGACAGCTAGCTTTTCTCTGCAGAGAAGGGGGCCGCAAAAATAATAATAAAAAAAGAAAAACATGGATCTCGTCATCAAGCCGAGAGCAAAGTCATTCGTGTGGCTTTACTTTGGCTTCAAGGCGGGCGAAAATGGCCGACCTTTGAATCCCGACGAGGTCGTTTGCCGTTTATGCCGAAAGATAGTGTGCGCGAAGGGAAACACCACGAACCTGAGGAGTCATCTGAGGCGACGACATCCAGCGGAGTTTAATGAGAGCATCGGTTCAGCTTCACTCGGACCCTCCTCAGAGCCCCAAGGTAATACAACGCTAAACCCAGTGTGTTTATCGACATCCAGCAACCTTCTGTAGTATCAGCTAGTGTTACCCTTAGCTTCATGTGCAGCATTGATGCAGAGTCCCTGTCCTGTGGTGCTAAATGGCCCTCAAGCTCCTGCAGATGTCAGGCTGCCAACCTGTCATTAAATGCCGCTGCTTTTTGTGATGATCAAGAAAGCAATCTGTCAAAATAAGGCTTCAAATACCTAATTAACATTGCTGCATATAAAATATAGTTGCACAGATGCCATGTTTTGGCCCCTGTACCGATACCGATACTTGGCTGTGCAGTATCGGCCCATACCGATACCACCTGTTTGAAATTAATGTGTGTGTGAATTTATGAAAAACTGCATACTAGTTGGATGTAAAATAAATGCCATCATGGCTTTTTTTTAAGCTGCTGCCTACCTTTGTGAAGCAGGGAAAAAAAAGAATCCAGTAGAACTTTTTATTGCCTACCTGGAATGGGTGCAGGGTTTCCGCGGGTCATTAAAAATTATTAAAATTTATTATTATTATTTTAAATTAAGGCCTTAATTGGCATTAAAATTCATTAATGTGATTATCATGGCATTTAAAATGCTTCATTAAAAAAAAAATTATAAAAACTATTTTGGCAGATATATTATATTGCGATATATTTGCGCGGAACTGCTTCCGGTTGATCATAAAGTCGTCAATTGGAAAAGAAGCTTGAGGCGGAAAAAAGGCTAGTGAATGGAAAAATGCTGGTAGACGAGGAATTCAGGTCATGGCTGCAGCCTGTCAACAGTAAAGATGAGGAAGGATTTCACAGCATATATATATATATATATATATATATATATACACACTTATTGATGGCATTAAAATTATTTCTAAGAGCATTAAAAGAGCATTAAATAAGAGTCACTCATTCTTGTATAAACCCTGTGGGTGACAATAGCTGAATAAACTTTTGTCTCTCAAAATGGTCCCCGTGCCCTATTTGTTGGTACTCGCCGACACCGATACCGCCATTTTAGTGCAGGATCGGGGCCCCGCACGATACTGGTATCAATATATAATCATTAGTTCTACATAAACAATCTATAGAACCATAGGAATTAGAAAAATCCATTACATATTAGTCTGAGGAGCTGATTTGGGTATGAAGGACTGATGCTGGAGATTCTGCTTTATTACTTGCTGAACACCGCTTAACACTTGCCGACATCCAGACATATGATTAATGACTTATGATTTTCCCCTGTACCCTTCCCCACTAACACTGTGCAGCCAAAGATTGGAAGTCCCAGAGATGGTTAGAAAAACTATGATGGTAAGGCCTCCGGATGGATGAGATCCATTATGTCAAGTCTCTGGATGTTGCTGGGTTGTCATGGTTGACGCGCCTCTTCAACTGCACTGTACTGGGCTGTAGAGATGGACTGACGCATAGACCGGCTGATAGACCAATATTAAAAATTTTTTCTTGTATCGATATCTTCCGATTTGTGCATTCCTATAGAGAGAGTTGATGGTCCCTCCGTATGCAACCTTTGATTTGTTTCCTTTTTTTTTAAATTCAGACTTGTGTAACATTTTTCATTTTTAGAACGTAAACATAGGAATAAAAAGCAACATCGGCCCAAAAATACCGGCAGCATGTATTGGGGATCGGTTACACTAATGTCAAAATAAAACTTGAATCGGTCGATCTCTACTGGGGTGCTTTGCGGCTAAGTGTGAACAAGGGTGACAACTAACGATCATTTTTGCAAATTGACGTTGACTATTCTATCGATTACTCGATTAATTATCAGATAGCAACAGCAGTTCTTTAAAGCAGAATTTTTATAAAATTAAAGCAGGTGAAACTAAACCTTTTCCACTTGAGGAGGAGCATGTTGACAGACGAAAACTATTTTTTATGTTAAATGCATAATGTTTATATATTTTTTTTTACCATTTTGGTATAATTGCTGTTTTAAGCGGGTTGCTCTGTAAGCTAATGACATGTTTTAGAGCTTCTACACTCCAGTCAGCGATTATTTCAATAATCGATTAATCACGATTAATCAAGTTAATTGTTTCAGCTGTAGTGTGATGACCATCCAAGTTTGTGGTTCTCGGCCAGAGAAAGAGCTGTCTTTATAATGGACTCATTAGCTGAAACTTTGATCCAATCTTGCATGGGAATTGCCTGGAATTTTAATGAATAGCCTGGAACAATCCTCGAATAATTTAATGTCGGATTACTAAAGACCAAAATCAGCCTGACTTCATGAGCTAACCCTGAGTTCAGTTTTAGCAGTACTTCCTGCAGGTTGTTTTGCTCTTAGAACTGGGATCTGGGAATATTGTGTTACCAGAGTGCAGCCCGTTCTGTTGGCAAGTTAGAGAATCACTAGTTTGGTTTATTGTTGTGTTGCGTATCTTGTGTTGTTATGGGCGGTTCTTGTACTACAAACTAAATTTCTTATGAATGTAAGCGCTGCGACAGAAGCAGTCATTGAGTGGTTCCTTAATATTAATATTTTTACCTTCACACTTTTAGTTTAATGCTGAAAAAAGCAGCAGGTGTTGCACTTTTAGCTTCAGTCGTATTGAGACAGGCTCAGCGTTTTAGTGGTGCACTGATTGCAGTTTTCAGCCCCATAACCGATCTTTAAAAAGCCTGATATGCTGATTCTGATTCTGACCACTACCATTTATACACCATATCTGGGGGCTGCAGGGCCACAATCGACTCTTTGGTTCTGCGGCTCACTTAATGTATGAAAAAAATGAATTCATGCCATTTATTTCTGCTTTTTTCACACCCTTACTGACTGCTGATATTTTTAATGTGCCATCTCTAATTATCGTGCAGATGATTTGAAAATAGATCACGTTAAGTATGGAAAACCACCTCTTTTTCTCATATTTTAAGAGCTGTCAGCTTTAGTTTTTACTGCAAAAACATTGTTCTGACAGATTAAAACTAAACTTATTCGGAAGTAGAAAGTCTTTAACCCCCTCCCCCAACTTTATCTTCACTTAATTTTTGCATAACCAAACTGTTAAATCTAAAGAATCTGTAAAAGTCAGCACATCAACCCTGGTGTGGAAACATATTATCTCCTGCTGATCAAGGTCGAAAAAAGGCTGGAAATCGACTAATCTGCATTACTGCTGATGGGTTATTAAAGATAAGATGAAATGAAGCAAGGTCAGGATGACATAAGTAGAAGTGTCAGGCATGGAGGGCGTCCAGCTTGAAGGTAGAAGCGCTGCACTAAGCTGGATTTTCAAAAGGATCGAAAACAACAGAATGGATTTAACTGGCCGGTTGGAGTCAGGGGTTGCTCTGACATCAGATGCTAGTATGGATTTTTTTTCCTATACCAGAGTAAAGTCATGGTGGGATTTAATGGTGTATTGACCTAGATGGCGTCTCTAATCTGATTTCTGTGATTTTTTAAACTGTGTCTGGATGCTGTCTTCCAAACAGACCAGCAGTCTTTTATGTCTGCCGATGCCAGCCTGATGAACTCAGCAATGTGAAATCCTTTGTTTTTAGTTTTTGTTGTTGTTTAATGTCTTGTTTTTATGTGACATGGGGTCTTTTTCAAAAAGCAGGTTTACTGAAAGCTTCAAGTTGTCTAAACCTGAAATCATGGAAAATTTTTCTGGTCCACAAAGTGAGTTTCCTCAACCTCTGTTTCATTCGCCGTAGTAACATTCTCCCCAGAGCTAACCCGGTGGGTAGCAGGTATTCTTTAGTAAAGAAGAGTGTCCTCCGTCTTCGCTTTCCTTACAGCCAATCACGCCGTTTTATTTCCCGATTTGGTCAGAAGATTTTGGTCGGAGTTCCTTAGACACATTAGGTCTTAAAAACAAACATTGCATGTCCATTTAATGAGGATCTTATTAAAGAATGATCGGCACTTTTTCGCAGAGAATTATGTATTTGTAAGGAGAGGATTCTCCAACTCAATTGACAGGATATAAGATTTACGGTAGTTGTTTGGTTTAGTTATTTTGAGAAACATGCTGATAATTTTATTTAGTTATTTTTACATTTTATTTAGTTAAATGTACACTATGTTTACACTACATAAAGAAAATTTCGCAAATATATTTTCAGATTACACATAAATAGATTAAGTAATTCCATGGGGGGAAAAGGAATTAATTTATGGTTAGGATTAGGGCTGCAACAACGAATCGATAAAATCGATAAAAATCGACTTTTAAAAGCGTTGGCAACGAATTTCATCATCGATTAGTTCTGTCGCGCGATTAATGGGTCATCCGCCACCGTCGTCATCACATCCAATTGATTGAAACAGGGGAGTGAAACAGGCCAGCGTGGTCCATGTTTACTTCTGTAAACATGGACCAAGGTGGCCTGTGACGTCATTGCGTCCTCTACTGTGCATGTGGGACACTTGCGTTGTATGACTACAGTTCACACAGGAGATCACATACAAGTTGCATATATTTTGAAATATGAACGGCAACGCAAAAAAATCGGATTTCACAAAAAAATCTGAATTAAGCATCAAGGCCTGAAGTTTGAACATAGCCTTATACTGCTGATTAAATGTAAGCACCATCAGATTTCAAACTGAACAGTTCAGGACATCATAGTGATCTGCAAACCAAAAAGAAGAATGTAGATGTCTCTCATAAGCATAGGTCAATGAATTAATGATGGACGTGACTGTGTCTAGATGGGTTTAACAAAGTTTTGTTGGAAATAACAAAATCTTCATTAGCTGCTGTCTGTTCTCCAGGCTTGGACCTCAATCATGAAGAGCTCAATGAAGATGTACCACTCACCCAGACCCCTTCCAACTGCAACTACGTCCCAGACGCGGTGGTGCCGCCGGGCGAGCCGTGGCTCCACGGCGGCCCCTCACGGGCCGTGTTGTCCTTGCCCGCCTGTCTCTCGCTCAGTACGGATGGTTCATCCACTGGCGAAGAACAGGCCACCATAAAGGTGTACGCCAAGTGTCAGCTTCAGCAGGGGGTCCTGTTCGGGCCCTTTTTGGGAGAGGTGTGCAAGGGACAATTGCCTAGCAACCTCCAATATGCCTGGGCTGTAAGTTGGCAGACCCCCCCATCATGGTTTTTATCTTGAGTATTTTCTAAAGTGCAGAATATACATTCTTTAGTAATTGTGGTTTTCTATCATAATAAAATATATATTTCTAACATATTCCATAAACCATGCTAAAAGTTCCCTGCTTAATTTTTTTAAAATCTAGATCAGGGAAGATTCTGCTTTCACCTACGTTGATGCATCAGATGAGAACAAATCGAACTGGATGAGGTGAGTTACTAACGTCACATCCATGTTAATCCTGAAGGATCTGAGCCTTCCTGCTAATGTGATTCACTGGAGATCTTTACTCTTGTGTTTCAGATATGTAACATACACCAGCAGCGAGGACGAACACAACTTGATGGTCTTCCAGTTCTACCGTCACATCTACTACAAGGTTGCCCGGCCCATCTGTGAGGGGGAAGAGCTCAAAGTCTGGATGGGGAAGGATTACGCCTCGCTTTTGGGTTTGGGGATGAGTGAGTTCTGCTCTACCGGGTTAATTCAATTTATTTATATAGCGGCAGTTCACAACATATGCCATCTCAAGGCACTTTATAGACAGTTCAGTCAGGATATATAGTCAGATTAGTTAAAAGTTTTCTATCTAATGAAAATCAGCTTGTTGCATCGAGTCATTGACGCGACAGCAACCCCCACACCAAGCATGCATGTAATGACAGTGGAGAGGAAAACTTCCTCATAAAAAGGAACCTCCAGTGTGTGAGCGACCTTCTGCCGAGGCCAATTGGGGAGATAGTAGGATATAGTAGACATGCAAAAGGAACATAGAAGCACTGATCAATAAATATGTTCTATATTTGAAAAGGAAACAGTAAACTAGGTCCATAGTGGACTCTGTCTAGGAAAGAAACAGCTAAGCAGACAAACTCTGAGGCAGTTTTCTTGTCAAAAGGTTTGAAAGAGACCACATACAGTTAACCAGACTAAAAGCTGAGCCCATAGCTATGTCTAGGAGAGGAACAGAACTAAGCACTGAAAAACCGACCCAACTCCATTAGCTATAAATAAAGGTGTTGATGGCAGTAGCACAGCAGATATTTCTCTCTAGGATGGTGTCACAGCCAAACAGGAACAGTACAGGTGATGCTACTATCATAAGAAAAAAGAAGAGAAGATAAATGAATGGGTTAAACAAAAATAATGTAGAATTGGAGGATAGAGATAGGATGAAGAAGAATCATTAAAGCACTCCCTATGTCTTTCAGCAGTCTAAGGCTATAGCAGCATAAACACAGAGTGGCTTGTGTTAACCTGGGCCACTCAAATAGTGTGTTTAGACCAAGCACATTCTGGGCATCAAAGCATCTAATTTACACGCAAAGCCAATAGCTGACTGCATTAATTAGCCTTGAGAGGTCCTGCAGAGCACCCGAGCATCGTCCTGCAGAGGTGAAATAAATATCTGAGGAAGCCCCATCTTTCATTAGAAGCTATTAGTGCTGCAAGCCAACACCCTAACGGGAGCCTCCATTCTTCTTCATCCCTACTTAAGGCGTGATATGTAGAGCTTCCCCAACTGGTATGGTGTTGGACAGTTCAGTAGATATTAGCTGCTTATAGCCTGGTGCTCAATCTTTTAGATAGGAATATTTCAAAGGGTGTACATCTTGGTGTATAACACCTTTGAGGCTGAAATATGCTCAGGCATTGGGTTGCCGCGACGGTGTGTTTGCACCATGCATGAGCTCATTGAAGCGGGGAACCCTTTTATAGTTGACACGGATGAAGGTGCAGTACTCGCAAAAACCACAGAGGGGCAGTGATCAACATAACCAGCGGAATGGCAGAAGTAAAGTTTGTCGTTGACACTTCACTTCCAAAATGGCTGAGCGCAGTATTGTATAATTAATGGTTATTCAAGAATAATAAGTGTGTTACACAGAAATATATAGTGGAATAAAACGGTGGGTTTACCTGATGCACACAGAGAGATTTGACGATGGTTAAACCCCATATGGACCTTTCTTTTTTTTTTTTTTACTTTTTTTTTTTTAGAACATATATATTTATAAAAGTTGTTCCACCAAGTAAAAGCTGATAATAAATTAAAAATTAAAGGTATCAACATTTTATGTTAACCTAAGCATTAATAAACTGTTTTAGTTGAGTGATCATATATCACTCAACTCTGTATCAGCAGTGCTGTCCGTCTCCCTGCCAACTCACAGATCAGCCTCTCTGATTGGTTGATGTGGCACGTTCAGCAACAGAAAAGTAAATTTTTTCGAACTCCGCCATGTGCTGCTTGTGAAATTTGAGCGCCACTCGACGCGCCACATTAAACAATCAGAGAAGCTGGTAGGGAGACAGACGCAGAGCTGCTGATGCAGAGCGCTATGATCAGTCCTCTGAAACCTACCTGAAAAAAGCTAACATCTACTTCCAGCCGCCACAATCAGCAGGAAAATCGACCACGAGTCGACCAGGTCTGAGGCGACTGCTGCTGAATTCCCAGTGACAGCGCACAGCTGGTGTACGGGGGTTTCATGCAGGTCCGACAGCAAAATAATACTTGAAGACAGGATCTTTATATATTGATGAACTGACTGCGCAGATGATGTTTTAAGATGGATTTGTTCACTTAAAAATATATTAAAACCACTTAAAACAGCAAATATAGAAAAGCATCTCTTTGCCACTGAACAGGAGCAGCAGAATCATCAGACACATCTGGACACACTTAACTGGACGTCTGACCTTAATGTGTACAAGCAAAAAATGAAGTAGAGAGTGCTTTTTTGATGCTGAAAGCACATGCGCTGTGAATGTAGCATTACACTTTGATTGTTTGAATTAACCTATGAAATATAATATTGTACCTAAAAATGATCTAATTTCCACTTTTAGTCAAGCTCACATTTATTCGCATAATCAGGACAAAAGTAGTGTTGTAACAAAGTCAGAAAGTTGGCTGCATTCCACCTCAAAATGCAGGAAATAGCATTTCAGAGAGTACTTTTCAAAATATTCCATGCAAGGATACCCCCGAGCCCCCCTACGCCACACAAAGCCTAAAGATGTGATACACCAAGGTGTATACCCCATGAAATATTTCTTGCTAAAAGACTGCCACCAATACCTAACATACCGTAACACAGCAATACTTTTCAGTAGGTATAAATGTCATCAGTTTTTTTTTTTTTATCTGACTTTTGATCGTCGCTAGCTGTAAAGTGAAATGAGCATAAAATGAACACTGGAAGTTTACAATTGTGATCATTAGATTAAATGTTTTAAATAGAATTGATGGGAAAAAAGAAATCCTCTGTTGTAGATAACTGAGGATCCCCCTGCACGGTGGTTCAAGTTGCTAATTTTCAGCACCTTTAAAGCTTCTCTGTTGACACTTGATGCTTTTGGTGTGTACAGGTGACAATGCAAAATGTGAGATTGGGGAGAAGGAAACAGTCCTGCGCCTCCTGCAGGACATCCAGCTGGTCACCCTCCCAGAGCCCAGCAGCACGTCGCTTTGGTCTGACAGCAGCCAATCCCAGAGCCCCATGCCCGTCATCAGTGAGGTGACCACCGTGTCAAACCCAGAAGCGGCTAATGAAGCAGGCTCAGTACCTGGCTCTGCCTTCCCTCCCGTTGTTCAGAGCCCGTTTATGTACACCAGCTCCACTGTGACTGAAAAATACGACTTCCTGCCAGGAAGCGAGAAGCTGTTGAGCAACCCGAACGCTCACCAGCACAGCGCCTGGCTGTTTTTTGGCTTGGAGCCAGACCCCACCGGTCGGCCTCTGGATCGAAACATGGCGGTGTGCAAGCTGTGCATGGAGCGTGTGAGCTGTGGGGGAGGAGCAGCAGATCTGCAGAACCACCTGACACTCAAGCATCACCTCAAACCTCGAGACATCACCAAGGATCGCGTTCTGGCAACAGGTAACAAGAAAAAACAATGTTTAGACATCTCTGTCAGTTATGACAAACCTTTTCATGAAGGTACAATAGTTAATCTTTATTGTATTTTTAAAAACATCGGAGGAAAAAATAGACAAAAGCCAATCACCTTTGTCATTTGGTGGCATATTTTCTCTTTCTTCATCAATGTCATGAATGATCCCCTCCTCTTTGGTGTAATCCTTAAATGTAATGGTCAAGTTATGGGGCTGAACATATTTATTTAGGAAAGGAGGATTTCAAACAGCAAGTTGAAATCAACAATGACGGAATAAATCAAGAGTGACACAGAGACATTGTCACTTGCATTAGTGGATGCTACTAGGAGGGGAGTGCTTACATGCTATCACCTCCAGATTCATCAGTATTACCAACAATGGCACCGATACAGGATGGACGCAGGACTGATGCAGAAACTACACTAATTTAGTCCAAATGATTTCATTGGAACCTGAAGAGCCTTTTCTTATTGAGCTGCTGACATTATGCTACAATGTTTTTAATGGCATTTAAAGCCGTCTTAGCTTAATAAGTATATATTAAGGTTGGGTAAAAAAATCGATTTAATCGATTTTGAATTGATTCCTTTACATTTTTTGCAAAATCGATGTCTAGGGAATGAGATCAATTCGTTTTATAGTGACGCGTGTGACGTTCACATTCAAATGAATGCACTCAAGATGACTTCAAGCCAGACAGCTGCAAATATAGCCAATAGGTTGACTGAAGACATTAACAAATGGAAGCTGACCAGCAAACACCCTGTAGTTGTTACAGACAGCGCTGCAAATATGAAGATAATGCAGCTCATGCATGTCTACTGTGTCCCCGCTGTGTCACGTCTGCCTGCTCGAGTGAGGCTTCCCTTTTTTACTTTTCACAAACAAGTTTGCACTTTTGAGACAGTTTTGTTCACATCTCAAGTTTAAACTGTCCGATTTACAAGTTTGCCCTTTGTGTTTAATATTACAGGGAAAAAGTAAAATACATGAGTATTTTGAAATACAATTGATCCACTTTCATTATTGTAAAAACAGATCAAATCGAAATTAATCGATTTACCACTGTAAGAATCAAAATCGAATCGATTCAGGACTTTGGCGAAAATACCCAGCCCTATATATTATATATAATGTGTGAGAGAAAGAACTGAAAAAAGTTATCTCCTATTTCGTGTTTTTTTTCTCGTATTTTGTTCAGACAATAACTATGTTTATTATGTTTATATAACACTATACTAGTGTTAGGGGAGTGGTGGCCTAGTGGTTAGGGCATAGAGCTTGGAATCCTGAGGTTCTGAGTTCAAGTCCCACTCCCATAGACTACGACTCTAGGTTTCTGAGCAAGAGACTTAATCCCCGATTGCTCCAAGGGTGCCGCACAGTGGCAGCCAACCGCTACCCAAAGGGGATGGGTTAAATTAGTTAATTTCTCCATTGTGAGTTCAATAAAGTTCAATTTATTTATTTTATTATATGTGTTTCACTGTGTAGCAGACTCCACAGGGGCTTTTTTTAGGGCAGGGGGTGGGCAATTCCAGTTCGTAGGAGCTGGTATCCTGCAGCTCATATGTGTCCTTGGTCCAAGAGACCTGAATCAAGTAATTAGATGATTAACAGGACACTGGAGAAACTAACTGCACACTGAGGAGGTGATTCAGGTGTGTTGGACCAAGGATGAAGCTAAAAGTTGCCGGATAGCATCCCTCAGAAACTGGAGTTGCCCAGCCTTGTTCTCGGGTCGCCTGTTTTTAGCTTCATCCACCTTTCATTACACAAAGCTTCCTTAACACCTCTGAAAGGAAAAAATCCCCACTGCATGATGCTGCCACCATAGTGCCAAACTGTTGGCTTCATATTTCCATGAATCCCATTGGATATCATGAGCATTTTCTGTATAACTGCAAGGAAATCGTTCTTGCTCTCATCTTTACCCATAAATCTTCTTCTCTATGTTTTATGTTTTCCTTGCATGGCTAGCGAACTTCTGACAGCCCATTTCTCTGTGAAATGATTTATGTTCTTATTCTAATTGTGTGTAACATGTTTCCTTTGTGTCTTTGTTGTCAGGTCAGCGTATTGTTCCTGTGATGCCTCCCACCAGCCTTCACAGCAGCCCCCCCACAGCAACATCTGCTAAAGTGATTAATGCCATCGCCAGCTTCATCATCAGGGATCTCCAGTCCCCTACTCTGGTGGAAGGGAAGGGCTTCAAACAGCTGCTGCACACGCTCTTGCCTTCCTACAAGGAGTCGCTCACATCCCAGCACCTGCTGCACCTCCTGAGAGACCACCACATCAAAGCCAAGATCAGCCTCATCCAGCAGCTGAAGAGAAGAACCTCGAGTTTGGACATGGAGGAGATAAGCGACTACACTGCTCCCATCGAAGTTGAGCCCAGGAGGCCAGGGCGGCCCCCGAACCACCTGAGGGTGGTTTCTAACTTTGTCACTTTGAGCGTGGATGTTTGGCTCCACAGCTGGCAGGGCAGCCACCAGCATTACCTCACCATGTGGGCGCATTACATCGATGATGACTTCAACCCCCACAACCTGGCTCTGGCAACCGAGAGACTGGAGAAGGGTGGAGCTAACGAGCTGAGCCTCCAGATGGTGGAGATGCAGGTGAGGGCCATGGCGCAAGAGTGGGGGGTCAACCAGCAGAACCTGGTTCTACTGGGAATGGAGGGCAAACACAGGATAAAGCTGCCTCCCATAAAGACGGAGAAAGGCCTGGAGGCTCCAGGCAGTGCCCCCCATCCAAACTCAACCACCTTCCTTGAGAAGGATGACTCCGCTTCCCCCGAGGAGCCGCAGGCCTCCTCTGAGCATTTTAGCGAGGGTCTTCCATCCGTCCCATGTTTTTTCAGCGCCGTGCAGGGCTGCATCGAGGAGGTGATGCTACACCCCGGCATCCTCAAAACCTTGGGCCAGTTCCAGGACCTTCTGTCCACCCTGCTGCTGCCTCCCTCTGGGAAGAGAGGCTTCTACCACCATCACGCCCGGAAGCTGCTGCTAAGCCTGTCCAAAGCAGAGCAGGAACGGGTGAAGCTGTGGGCTCACTGCCAGCCCAGCTGGAACGAACTCTATCCTTTATTGAACTCGCTTATCAAACACAAAAGCCTAATCTGTGATATTATAAAAGATGTTAATCAAGAAAACATTGCCAGGGAGGAGACGGCTTCAGAGTCATTAGACAGCTGCCATGCTAACTCCACCTCCAACACGCCATCAGTGGGCCTTCCTATACCGCGCCTGGAGTGGAAGTTGGTGGAGGAGCTCTGCTTGGTCCTCAAACCTCTGGACGTGGCGTGTAGGACTTTAGCCAAAGAGGCCTTCCCACGCCTGTCCCTCGTTAAACCCATCCTCACAGGCTTGCTCTCCAGACACCTCGTACCCCGGCCGAGCGACTCCTCGTCCATCCTGAAGGAGGTGAAGAGGATGATGAGGCGGAGCTTGGCGAGTTGCTACGACAGCCCGACGGTGAACAGGCTTCTGTGTGTGGCGTGCTCCCTCGACCCCCAGTTTCATGGGCTGGGCTTCATGGACGACAAGGTACGCTTTCATTTAAACAATAAATGTTTGTTTTTCCTTCACTTTTCTAGCCTGTCCAGCCAGACTGATACGTCGAATATACGGCGAAGAGCTGTTAGAACAAATATGAGGCAAAGATTCCAAGCGACATGCTGTGTTTGTGTAATGTCATTGGTCGCGAATAAAATATATCAAGCTGTCAAAGAAACTCCATTTCTCAGTGAATGATTTCTGTCAGTTTTGCCTAAAAAAATCTGAGGATATAAGGAGCACTAGCTGTTTTGTTCTTTATTTTTGGACGACGTAGCTTCATTGCGGTCACCAGCTTGTTGTCATGCTAGCACAAAAGCACTGCGATTGACGCATCATAAAGTCCCGCCTCCCGCACTGTGATTGGTTCGTTCAGATCTGGCCGGAGTCTACAGTCTGTTTGGCCACTTTCATTTATCTGCTTCAATTCGACTCCCTGGAAAAACCTGCTTCCAGCAATGAACTCTTATTTCTTAGCATTTATAAAAAGCTAAAAAAAACCTTTTAGTGTTTGGTATTATGATTAAATTACCTGAAGCTTTTCATTAGCTCAAACCCATAATCATCACAGTAACTGGAAGGCAATCTTCAAGTTATCATATGAAAGTTTCATGTTTTAAACTAAAAACTCCAGTAAATGAACTTTTTATTTATTTTTTGTCATTTTTTAGCCTTTTACTCAAAGTGAAGCCGAGTTTCGTAGGATTTATATGAGGTTGATTCTTCAGGTGAAGTCAAAAGATAGTCTTCGGAAAATCCAACGCATATTTAGACATATTTTGATTTGTTCTAATTCATCCCAATGTGTAGAAACATTAAATGACAGTGGCTATGAAATATGTTCTATATATTACATATATTACATATATATTACATATAGATATATATAGTGAAGAAAATGACTTTTGTGAAAATTATGCTTAGAATGTAATTTAAAAGCTCAATATACAGCCGTGGATGTTTTTACAGTAATGGATATTTGAAAATGGCAGCAGCATGGTAGATCTGCAAAATGACTGCAGAATGCTATTTAACCGACTAAGATAGAAACTGAACAAACTCAGCATGAATGAGGTTGTTGCGAATAGTGGTGGTTATGAAGTCTTACCGCTGCTGGGAGGAAGGATCTGTAACTTCTACATATTATATGAATATACATAAAATACCCCAAATAAAATAGTATTTTTCATGTACATTCAAAGGGAATATGAAGTGTTTGGGAACGGCGACCAATAAAGTTGCTCTTCCTTTGGCATTTTCTTGTTTCCCTTCCTTCCATTCAGGTAACGCTGCTATCCTGACATTAGCTCTTCTGTCTACTGTGGTGGAAAGACTGATCCATTGAGGGAAAGGTTTCCTTTTTATAGAAATAAAAATATTAATCTATCATTCAAGCTCAATATTTTTCATTAAGATAAAGAATTTCTGTTACTTTCAAATCAAATTTAATTTCATTCTTATAAGGAACTGAGAGGCCAGCACTTGGTCACGGGACCAACTTCATACAGCAAAAACACTCGATACAAAAAACATATTTTATATAATATAAATGGTAATTTATCCCTTTCTAAATTTTTTTGTATAGTAACTGCAGCCTGATGAAACACGACAACCTTGTTTTTCTTATTTCATCCTGGAATCCTGATGTATTAATAGCTGGAGAATCTGTTCAGAAAATTACCTTTTGAAAATTGGTTCAATGAAATTGATTTAGAAAGAGCATAAAATCACTGCTGTAGTATTTAACCAAACCTATTAATGTTCTATCTACATAAAAGAAACCATGAAATACTGCAGAGGGAGGAACTTTTGGATCCTGGATCAATGGGTTGACGGTTTGCTCTGGCTTTAGACCTCAGATCTTCCAGTAACGTCTGAGCTCAGTTTGGATTTGTTTTCATTAACATGCGAAGGATGCTGACCTGTTATCTCCTCATCCTGTAGGAGCAGGTGGCCACATTCGATTGGCTGAAGAAGGAGGCTGTGAGGATTGCCAAGGAGGACAGGAAGAGCGGTAAAGCCAATCAAATGAAGAGAAGCTCCTCTCCCGTGTCCCCAGAGTCAGACAGCGAAATCCTCCGGCGGAGCAAACGCCTGAAGGAGTGCCCCCCGATTAACTTCAGAGACCTCATAGTGGAGGATGAGTTTAGTGACGCCGGAGAGAACGATGATGGCGACCCGTCGGACCCTGCTTGTCATGCTGGGCTCTCTGGCATGGAATTTCTGCTGGGAGACCTGTTCTGCTCCACTCCCAGGAGCAGGCAGAGCTCCGTGGAGGAGTCTGTCGACATGGAGATGTCTGTCTTCAGAGCTGACAGAGGGGCTTCGCTGGGAGTGGAGCCCCTGCAGTGGTGGAGGACCAAGGCGGGCCAGTTTCCGCTGCTGGCCGCTGTGGCGCGCGTTTACATGGCTGCTCCGGCCGTGGCGGGGAATGCGGCGCAGGACTTTGTGCAGGAAGGACCCGAAACTACCAACAGGAAGAGGTCGGCCATTCCGCCAGACAGTTTGGACGCCATCCTGTTTCTACACCACAATCGCATCTCCACCGCTGACGGTGGGCAAGAGTGAAGGAAGGGACGGCGGCAGGAAGAAACATGACAAAGACTTTTCTGGTGACAGGAATTGAATCATCACACCTAACCTCATCGGTTAATTGCAAGCGATTTAATCCAATACACAAAGCCTTTCAACATCATTTAAAACATAAAACGAGCAGCAATGAAGGAAGACTAAATAAATTATACCTTCATCAGACAATGCACAACATTTTTCAGTTTTTATCTTTCATTTTAGTTTTACATTTTTTTTGCCTTTTTCTCTGCAGACAACAAAGAACAGAAATGTCCACCAAGCTGTGTTTTATAAAAAAAATCCTAACTACTGATTTCCACTGAACTTTATGCTAATTACCCTGTAGTCCCTTGTGCCTTATCTAGTTCCTTTAGCCACACTGTAGAAGCAGATCTAACCAAATCGTACTTCTCCTGCCTGTTTTTATACTTACAGCTCATTGAATGGAGTTAGGCTTACTGAAGGGGATGTGATCTGCTGTATGACTTTGCTTTTTTATTTCTCGATTTGTCAATCAGTAATTGATTAACTAAAAAGCAGATGATGTTGATTATGTGAAAACTGTTCATGCTGGAATAACCAGAGGAGAAATAAAAGCAAACAAAAATGTGCTGTCATGGTCAAATTAAGGACACTACAAATGATTTTTTTTTGTACTAATAAGCAAAATATCAACCATAGACTTTATAGGAGGACTTTATACTGTCTGTGGTCTGTATTCTGCATCCCTGAATGTTTTCTTTCACCTTTTTATAATCAAATACAGAGAAAAAAAAAGGTTTTTGTCTTTGAGTGATGTAGCAATCCTGTCCTATACCTTTTTTCCAATAAAACATATTTAACCCATTGAACACTGTGTGTTTTAACCATATGGAAAAGAAGTTCTCCTAACACACTGCTCTAATACTAATGTGTTTATTTCACTGGCCATTGAGAAGCTTCTCGTGTTGGAAATTTACCAAATGTCCTTCTAACTTCTGTCACCTCATTTTTTTGACTAGAGAAAATAAAATACACTAGAGAAGATGTAGTAAATTTTTCTACAAATCCTGTTTCAGTATTTTAGAGGTACCACCCAGCTGAATGTTTGGCCATGTATATGTGATATAAGTTTATAAAAAAAAAAAAGGGGGGAGAGAGTCATTCTCTGATTGAAAGGATAATAGTACTTTTCTATTAAAGCTACAGTGTGTAACTTTTAGCGACATCTAGCGGTCAGACTGCAGACTGCAGCAACATGAACATCTCCCCCCCACCGCTTCTCCCCCCCAACAGTACGGCGAGCGTTACGGGACAAAATGTCTTCCTCGACGTCCGCATCACCTACCTTCTCAAGTGATGAGGTTTGTTTACATAGATAATTTTACAGATAGTATTTCATTAGTCTGTGTAGGGTATAGAGTTCATGTAGACTTAAGATAATAAATATACCCGTTATTTTTTCTACATCGTGACATTTTGGCGATCTCGCAATCGCTAGTTTGTTGGCTCTGCGCTGCCGTAGCGCAAAGATGTCTGCCTCCATGGCTGCGAGACCCGCTCCTATTTAATTATAAATAACGAATTCTAAGGCAACGCAAATATTAAGGTTAAGAGGCTGAGCTCGTAGATGATGATAAATAACATAGTTATGTATAATATAGTACATTTCTGACTGTATATCCCTGTAATTATTACACACTGTAGCTTTAAATTAAAAATTTATGGGAAAATATATATGGGTCATCGATTATCCGAGGTGAGGGGCATGTTTTTTTTTTTTTTTTAAGCATGGATTTAGCAGAGTTTTGTTGGGGTTTATTTAAATCTCTTTTTGTGTATTTTTCCTGTAAAACACTCCGAGTTAGCCTGTAGCTGAAGAGGCATACATGCAAATGTCTTTTCCAAAAAAAACAATAGTATTCATGTTGATGAGTGTATGTAAACAACAGATGACTAGATCATCTATAAAAGGATGATCTGGTCTTTATTCAGATAAAAAGTGGTAAATAATATCTCCTTTTTTTGCAAAATAGTAGAACAAATATATGTATTGGGTTTGCATTGAACAAAAATGAGCCAAAATGCAGAAACAATGTGAAACAGCTCTCTTTGAGATTTATTGATCAATTCTCTTATCAGAAACATTCTGTTGTTGTTTTTTTTAAATGCCAGGAGGGCGACGGCCAGGATCCTGGAGAGACAATGGCTGCCCAATAATCTGGAAACGCTCATGGAGTCATTTTCTAATCTTTAGTCCTGCTGAACACCGAAATACACCCTGACTTCATTCACTTAAAAAAAATCATTTAACCTGATAAAAATAAATCAAACAACAACAAAAAAAATCACATTGGTTCCTGTGAAATATTAAAAAAACATAAATCTGCTTATACAAAAAGGTAATATAAAATATTCGTATTACTATTTCCTAGTAAAAATCATGAAATGAAAACAAACCAAATGGAAATTTAGGAGCAGAAATGTAAACACATAAAATGAGTTAATTTTCTAGAGTTTAGCTTGAACCAATCTGGGATCTAAATGAGCTTCAGTCAGAGGGATGTTCTCCCTGCTGTGGGCTTTTCTCCTGCAGTAGATGAAGATGTAAACGGGATGGATGAACACCAGAAAGGTGAGGAGAGAAAGAGAAACATCCACCTGAAACAGAGAGCCCATGAGATCTCATGCAGAAACATGTTAGAATAATGCCTTGAATCTGAAGTGAGCTCACATAAAACGGATCTCCATGGAGAGCTCCTTTGACCAAGGCAAAGCAGGGGTACTGCAGCAGAGAAATGAGAGCAGAGAGCGCCATCACCAGGCCGTACAGCTTCCCAAAGTGGCAGGATGGAAAACTGAGGCAGAAGGAGTCAATCAGAAAGAAAATCAGAGATGATGTTTGTTCACTTGGTGAGAAAACCAGCTTATCCCTTAGCAAAAAGTAGTTTATTCAAGTTTCTTTAATATATTCTTCTGGCTACACTTGAATAAGTGTAGCCAGAAGAATATGTTAAAGAAAGAAAGAAAATGCATGCAGATCATCACACCAAAACCCCTTTTAAAAGTATTCAAAGAAATATTCCCAATGCCAAGAGAACTGGGTTTATTAACAGAGAACAGCTATCTCCATGTCTAGATTAAATGGTGTCCAAGGAATCTCACTTGTTTTGCAGAAAATGTAACTTAGATGAATTTATTGGGTCAGGAGATCAGCAGATTTCTCTTGAAAATCTAAAGAAAATGATTAATTTACGATAACTTTAAAATCCGATAAAAAATCAAAACATCACAGGTGTATCCTGGTGTACCCTGCATTGCAAAATAATCAAACTCCTCCAACCTTTTCTCACACTTTGCCACATTAGAGCCATGATATCCACTCACCACGCTGCTGCTACTACAATGTTTCACTAAGGGCAGCAGCACATTGGGATTATAAATGATCAAATTATTTTTTACAGACACAAATCTGAAAAGTGTGGTGTGCATTTGTATTCAGTCAACTTTGCTTTGAACCCCTAAATAAAGTGAAATTATGATTTTCTGCTACATCTGTGTTCAGTAGCAGCCACTTACGCGATGCTAAGGAAGGCTGCGTTTCCCCCATACAGAAAGGACCTATTGAGAACCTGCAGGATGAAGGTGAGATACTGCAGCGAGAGGAGAGGGATGGAGGCGCAGACAGAGAAGAGGAGGCACTGCAGAGAAGTCAGGAACAGAGACAGGTAGGAGGAGCGCAGGTCAGCATCATGTTCAGTTTCTCCTGCAGTAGAAGGAAAAGAAAGGGTGAGAAAAGTTACTGCTGCCATCGGTGCAATGAAGCATGCAGCAGGGAGTTACCAGCAGCTCGAGGCCTTCCTTTGTGTCTGTCCAAGATGAGTCCATTCCAGGGCGCACAGACCACTCCACACAGTTGAGTCATTGCAAACGCATTGGTGTACTGGCTCACTTAGAGGCACATGGTTAAACACAGGAAATGTCAAAAAGAAATCATAATAATTATCTGGAAATTAAAATCAGAAGAAAAGGGAAGCTGGAGAAGAGATCCTTGGTAAGTTACCCAGGTCAGGGTCGTTTCTGGCCAGCCGACTCAGCCTGGAGTTCAGCGTGCCGATGAAGAGGTAATGCCTCAGCTGCATTATGGACAACCACAACAGATGCCAGAGGAAGAACCAGGACAGGACACAGCTCCGGAAACTCGACACTTAATGAGGCAGAGGGACACATACAATGATTTGGAGCAGTTAATCAATTCCTGTTATCCCAATATAAACCCCAGACGTGTTGACTTCAGTTTCAGCAAAATCTGATTAGGGGATTATTGGGACTTCATAAGTTTGTTCCAGAGATTTGGAGCAAAGAGCGCTGCAGATTTTTATCTGTAAAGAAAAAGTTTACATCTGGGATTTTCCTTCTACTTAGCAGTTCTGCTGAAGTTTGTGTTGGTCTGTTATTTCATATCCCCTAAGAAATTCAACTTGGGGTTTGAGCAATCATTTGCACCTAGAGTTTATGAATGTTAAATATTTAGCTTTGTGGAAGGTACAAAGTGGGTAAGATGTATTAATATTTATTAATATAAAATTTTAATCTAAAATACAACTAGGCACATGTCGGCATGTGAATGTTTTTTCTGAAAGAGGGATTTTATAAATTTTAAACAAAGAAGCAAAATAAAGAGATACACAAATTAGATTTTTTTTTCCAGATCACATTTTAATTTGTCCTCATATCTTTTTGCATCTCTTAATTACTGAATAAGAGTTTAAGGCCAATATCTCCTCTCTTTATGAAATGGACCAGAATTATTTTGTCAAATAGTAACTTTGTTTGGTATTTCTTTTATTTGCGTACATTTTGCACTGGAAACTTTATGTGCATTTAAGTAATATATTTATCTAAGTAGATGTACTTATATTTAAGTTTTTTGCACTCTTTGTTGAGGTAATCACCTGCTATCAGACTAGGGTTTCTACCTTTTTCTGCGTTTTCCATCTCTTTTTCGTCTGACCTCATTGTTTCATCCTTCTCACAGGAATCCAGAGCCAGTCTCATTTTAGCCTCCCTCGTCCTCTCCAGCTGCTCCACATTATAACTGTTGGACTGGCCACAGTTCACCCTGAGCATCAGGACACATGTCAACAGGTTTCAGCCCCAGAGGAGAAAGCAAAGAACAACAAGCGATAACACTCTCACCCGTATGTGTAGCATTGAGGCAGAGGGTAGGGGATGTGGGTTCTCGGCATGAGGAGGAAGGTCCTCGCCAGGTGAGCGACGCTGCAGAGGGACAAGGCCAAGAAGGACGAGTGGAGAGACACTCCTTGCTCATATAGAAACTGCACAGCAAAGAAAACGCTAGTATTAGTTATCCCCTTTCAGAAAACTGTTAGGCTACTTTCAGAAAAATCATAATTTTGAAACACTTTATTGTTGCTAAAGGGAAAGATGGACTCTATGTCCCAAATAGCATCATGAGTCTCTGTTGCATTTTTAGGTTGTTTTTGTAAATGCTTGATTTACATATAACAATTAATTCAATAAATACAACTTAAACTTGGATTTGATTTAAGGATTGCCTAACAGCAACCATTATAAATGAATGCACAAATACCACAGTATGATTTTTCTCTATAGAGGGATGGCAACAGAGAGTAATAAGATCAGGTGAAGATGCATCATTGACACTGACTCCAATGCATTATGCAGTCTGCATAGAATAACAATCCAGTTGCAGCTGCCCAAACCCCAAAACTGCTGTAACCATGTCTTCATTATCTAACAGATTCATCAAATGCTTTAAAAGGTTGAAACTGCCCTGCTTCAGTCTGCATACAGAACTCATTTAATATTTCGGTTGAGATTGAAAGCATAAGATTGTGCTAAAAGCCATATTTTAAGAGTCTATTCTCATCATTGTAAAACTCCGTAATGAATTTCTTCAAACATTTTAAAACAAACAAGGCATAAAGAAACTTATATAAACATTAATATATAACTTGTATTAAATAATAACATAACATGTATACTGCATAACTTTCAGTTAAACGATATATTGACCTCATCATATTTTGTTTTATATTTAAGCTGTGTTACTTTTTGAGTTACTGACTGTCGCCCTCTTGTGCCAGTCTCCTTTCACATAGCTCCCTTCTAGTTGCTTCTATCCACATCTGCTCCCTATCAGTTGATTACCCCAGTTTTTGTTCTGTCCCCCATATATACCACTCCTGTGCAGTTCTTCATTGCTGGTTTCTCTTCATTGCTTGAATCCTCATGTGTGTTTTCTCCCTGGCATCTCCTGGTTTTGATTACTTGCTTTTGTTTCTTAGATTTGTGTTTCTGTTGCAATCTGTTGCAATCTGCATCCAAATAAATCTTATTATTATCTCTGTTCAAAATCATAACCAGTTTCAGGTAAAATTACAAATCTAAATCAATCCTCTAAATGTTTCTCTTTCCAGATTCTCTCTCCTCTTGCAGCTTCTGTGCTCTGAGGAAGATAAACATCTTCTTCCTCTCTGCCAGTCTCATTCAAAGTCACTAAATCTGTCTGTTGAGATTTCTTATCTAAGGTCAGAGCTCTAATTTACCAAAAACAAATATAAAAATGTGTGTTCAAAGCTTTCCTCTAAGCAGACATGAGGTAGTGGGAATTTACCTTGATGATTAGAAAGACGGCAGAAGAAGAGTCAAAGGCTCCGTTGTACAGGGTGATGATGGTGGAACGATGAGCCGCAAAGAGATTCCCAACCTTCCCGAGATAAGAGACGGGAATTATGGAGTTATAACTACCTCCTTTATTTGAATGGCAATGAACAAACAGCCCATTTAAAGTGGAATCACCTGCATGTTAGTCATAAGGAGCAGAATTCCTCCCACAGCGATGCAGGACAAGGCAGGGAAAAGCAACAGAGAAGATGCTGCAGAGCAATGAAGGAGAAGGAAAGACAGCAATCTTTTATTTACAGAGGACATTACAACCTAAATAAACGTATTATATATATATATATATATATATATATATATATATATATATATATATATACTTTGAGATATTCTCTCTTTAGTCCATTGGAACCTAATGAATTAGATATATAAGTTTGCATAAGATGTTTACAAACCTGCGCTGGAGAAAGCCACTAGAAGGGTTCCAGTGGTGTACAACAATCTAGAAAGAGAAAAAAAATTTAATACCTAAAAAAGTTGAAGGTATATTATTAGCTGAACATATTTGAAACTACTTTTTCTACTACTTTGCCCCTGGAAGCATACAATCATCTGGTATGGTTGTATCTGTTTCCAATCAGCCAAGCTGTGAATTTAATAGAAAATTAGGCAGACATCTTTGAAAAGATTGTTTAAACACTGTAAAAGGAGTATCAGTTTAGTAAGACAGACAGACAGACAGACAGACAGACAGACAGACAGACAGACAGACAGACAGACAGACAGACAGACAGATAGATAGATAGATAGATAGATAGATAGATAGATAGATAGATAGATAGATAGATAGATAGATTATTTCTTCTTCCAAAAAGGTCAAATTGTGGTTAGAATTGTCACCATATGTTCTGTGAATGAGCTACTGATATTTATGAGTTGTTGTTGACAATATTAGGTGAAATGAGTTGATATATTCTTTGGTTTAATGTTCCTCCTTAACTTATTCTCATTCATCATTGGGTTCCTCCTCTCATACTAACTGTAAAATCAATAAGTAACTAAGCTACAAGCTAAAATGTATGTTTCAGATTCAATATAACCCTCTTCCTTCATTTTGTATTCAAAACGGCAGGATGTTTAAGCAGAGCCAAGAACCCAGTAACCCCTCAGTGCCTTGGTGCCCTGACTGCATGCAGATTGATGCCTGAACTTACATTGCCAGCAGCCTGGTCACCATGGTTCCGAATCGATCAAACAGGAAGCCATTGATCAGACTCAGGAAGTTGTTTAGGAAGGAGGCGATCGTGAAAATCAGTGAAAACTGCTCATCCTGTCTGCTGCAGTCTGAAAGAAAGAGAAACATTAAGACATGGAGAACATTTAACAAGCAACTTGTGTTTTATCACCCATAAAATGACTAAAAACTATGCACACACGGAGGTGGACCATGACAGATCAATTCAAAGTTTTTAACCCATTTATATTGTGAACAATATCCAGTAACATTGAACAGAGAGACAAGTGGAAAAGGTGAACAAATATTTCAGAATATGTTTGGATCCAGTACAGATCTATAGTCTTGTTGACAGAATACTAAATCTGATCAGGTGAGTTAATAAACGTCACCTGTGCAAATAGGATTTGCCCTTTTACATCCATTTAATAAGCCATAGTCTGCAGTGAGGTAAGGAAAGGATCAAAAGGATCTTCAAGGTGTAAGTCAGGAGAAGACCCTTTTTATTAGTTGTTGCACTAATTTCATCCTTTGTTTTAGTTTTAGGCACAAGATTGAAAAAAAATCTGAATATTGTATCTGTGTAGTAATGTATAAATATAATAAAGAGCAAACACAAAATGTCACTTTTAGAAAAAGGTTCAGTAACAGCTGATAAGAACTGACTTGTGCAAAACATTAAACACCAGTTAACACAGCTTAAAAATAATTTGATAAATATAAAAATGAGGTTTATGAATCCAGAATCTCTGTATGTTTTAGTATTTCCCTTTAAATTGCAGTTTTTATTCATTTTAGGTGATAAAAATGTTGTCTGAATATAGTTTGTTTTTGTTAATGCTGGTTAGCTACATTGCCCCCATTAAGGGGCAGGTTTATTTCAATAATAATAAGAGGGAAAAAACAAGTTAGAAATAGCTCCCAGGATTCACCGTCATCTGTTTGGGTGTGTTTGAGATGTTTTTTTTTTTTTATCTGATTTCTGATTTATTCATAACAAAGAAAAACACACTTTAAACACTCAAAACACTTTTCTAGTCTGGATATAAAATGCTAATTTTGTTGCCTTTTTTGGTTTCAGGAACATTTTATGGTTTCTATAATAGGAATGAATAATAAGAATAAATATAATAATACCCAAACTGGAGACTTTTAATAGTTTAGTCTGTTTTACTAGATAAAAAAAGATATATAATTACAATTAACACAAAAGACTGCTTGACTAGGTGATATTATTAACGAATCAGAGCTTCTAGTCTGATGCACCTGGAATTTCACTCTATATTGTTCAACAAAGACCTGGATTTGATCTTTATTTCAGTTTTCTGTGTAATGTAATAAGTTACATTTTGGTTAGTACTCCAAAGAGACTTTTTACTATTTACTCAGATAATTACACAAAGGTACAGACTTTACAGCAATCACTCATCCTGAGTGAAGAATTCAGGAACAATGTACAGCTGTCTGCATCAATTCACTCCAAATCATTAAAGCCATACTCTGAGATCGACGTATAGCAGCTGGAAAGACCAGGACAGTTTTACAATTGTCGATGAGAACTTAATGCATTGTAGAGGTTTCTCATCTCAGAGTGCTGCACACAACCAACAATACAACAAACACACAACATAAGATAGTAAGAATCAAAAACGTAAATAAAGTAATTTGCTTGTTGGTTCGGTAAATGTTCTCCCCTCCTGTTTTCTCGTTACGAGGGAGAGAATCATGTTGGCTTATTGTTAATATTTTTCATTGTTTTCCTGGGAATGTAGGGAGATGGGGGATAAGTGAAATGTATTCCCATGTAAATTAATGTTTTGTACCCATCTAACCCAATAAAAAAAATATATGGTAAAAAAAAAAATAAAAAAAATAAATAAATAAATAAAATAAAAACGTAAATAAAAATTGAAATACTAATAATTTAGAAAATAAACGTTCCTTAAAAAATATCTGCTCTGCTTCAGTTAAAGGCCAGTGCAAACAGGTAGGTTTATAACAAAGACTTCAAAATGTATAGAGACTGGGCCATTCTAATATCCAAGGGAAAAGTGGTCCAGGGTCTTTTCCAGCTGTGATCTTGACACAGCTGATGTTACTTTTTGGGTTGATCTCGCTGATTGAACTGGAACATGGACCAACAGAAGCTTGGAAAGACAGAGGGGAGCTGACCTATTTCAATATTTAATACCCAATAAACCAAATACTGAAGGTGACTGGAAACCAGTGCAGAAAAAACATCCAGTGACAGTGAAACACAATAAAGCTGATTGGACTTCACTAAAATCTTATTGGCAAACCCCAGTTTCCAGGAGGACATCCTATTGAATAATTAGACAGATTGAGGTTTTGTCCTGAAATACAAAATGACTTATGACATGACTTATGACATAACCTTTGTTTTGGTTATTTCATTCTCCATAAAGCCCATTATTCTCATAAACACTGTCATCCACATGACATCACACCAGTCATAAACATGAAGTAGTCTTTATTAGTTTCTATCACTGTTGTCATTAAGTGTAATTCAGTAAATTATGAAATTTAAAGGTAAAGGTGAATTTTTTTAAAAATGTCTTTGTTATGACAACTTGACTTTAAAAGGTTTACTTTATGTGCTGACATCACATTTGTTGTTAGTCTTAACTTTGGCTGTCATGATGGCATTATGATTGTGTCATGTATTTATATATGTTGACACATAAAGCTGGATAACCTTATAAAGTTTGATGATATCTATTTGACACATTTGAGACTGGGTATGGTTCCTTGGTTAATGTCAAGTTGTCATAGCAAAGACATTTTAGATCATGTCAACTTTACCCTTAAAGAGTCATCATTTACTCAGTGACACTGCAATGATGAGTGATAAGTTTGCATAAGTGTGATGTAATGTTTATGAAAGTATCATGTCAGCCTTATATACAGCCCTTCGAATAAAATGTTACCAAAATTCCTCTCTTATTATAAAGAAATGATACCATAATAAAATATTTTGTACTAATTGGCCTTAAACCTTTAGCATTTGGTCTGATATATTGTCAGACTAAGAAAAAATTGGTATGTCTAGATTTATACAGTCCATCCATCCATCCATCCATTTTCTTTACACGCTTGTCCCAAGTGGGGTCGCGAGGGGTGCTGGTGCCTATCTCCAGCAGTCAATGGGCGAGAGGCAGAGATTTATACAGTGTGTGTAAATATGCATTTGCATCTGTAAGGATGGATTATTTTCATTTCAATCAAAACAGACAGCCATATGTTATCATTGACCGTTATAAATGTTACAAATTTGTAATATACCTGCCTTTCTATTTATTTCAAAATAAACAGAAAGTTTAAAAAAAAAATCAATTAGGCGACTACTAAGAGAAAAATACTTTTTTTTAAAGATGTATACATATATGCATATAAATTCAGCGTCCTTTTCTGCTCCTCCTTCTAAGTGTCATAATAAATTTGAGATACACTATAAAAATATGTGATGATTATGTTTGAATAGAAATCAAAAAGGAAAAATTGCACGTTTGTCAAAAGGTAATATGTTAACTCAGAATTACTAATCCTGTTATGTGATACAATTTTTTATCCAACATAATACAGCTGTCCTTTTAAAGACATTATAATGTTATTTAAAACCATTGTTGTTCCTTGTTTTAGGGGTTAGCTTTTAACTGAGAGGTGTAGGGTGTAGGAGTTTGTCCTACAATTGGAAGATCGCCATTTTGAAACCCTAGCTCCGCCAGTTTCAGTTATTGTACCCTTGGGCCAGATACTTTGCCCACATTTGTTAGTGATGGAGGTCTGAGGGCTCAGCGGTGCCTGTATATGACAGCATTGCTTCTGTTAGTGTGCCCCAGGGCAGCTGTGACTACAGTATATGGTTGAATATGTCCATAAATGAATGAATGTGGTGTAGCCAAGCTTTCTACCACTTAATAGTGCGCCACAGAGGAGGGGGACTCCTGCAGTTTGCTCACCTGTCTCTATCAAAGTGCTGTTGCTGTCTGTGTCGTTGTTGCAGAGTTCACTGAAGTACCTGTCTTCTTTCAGCACAAACACCAAAGAGGCGTAACCAAACACCACACCTGCAAAGCCCAGACACTCCAGCATCCCGGAGATCAGAGTCAGCCAGTGGCGTGGCTTGGTGCCAACCTCACAGCCTTGCATGCTTTGCTTCTTCTCAGCAAAGCCTCAGATAAGATATCCAGGACCTCCTCCAGAAAAAGAATTATTCCCTTTATTTTTTCCAGATAGCAGAAATAATCCACATTTCTTTAAAAAAAAAAAAAAGAGGAGAAAAAACAAAGAAGTTATTCTGCCATATCATTTGGTAAAGTACCAACTTTCCAGAATGTGTTGACCATGTGGGATCAATCCCAAAGCTATTACGACAAGCCGAACAAACTTCTACCACTGAACGCTGTAACAGATGTTTCATTCTCAACTCCTGTTGCTGAAATATATTTCAGTCACACAATAAAATAAAGAAGCGTTTTTAAAGCAACATCTGAGCAAAAACAGCTAATATCATCAGCTTTAAAATGCATGCACACAAATGTATGTATAAACAATTACATCTCAGCAAAGCGATGCATTCCTAGTAATGCAAATATTCTACTCCTAGCTGTGCTGTAATTTGGAGTTGGAGCCTCTATGTTATATATATGAGATTACATGAAACATTACAGTACATTTAGAATATGAATAAACAATGTTAAATAGAACTTTCACCTTTCAGCTTCTTCCGTGCAGTTCCTGTGAGTTTATCTCATCAGTTCTGTGACAGCATGGTGGGAGTTCCCTCCTTAAATGCTTCTTATCTTTCTCATGCCAAACCGACGCTACGACATACTGACAGCAGACTTCGCAGACAGTGGCAGTTGTCTGCAGGAGGTACTGCCTCTAATCCAGATTAGCTGGGTTAATCTATGAGTGCTGGTGCACAGCACAATAGGACTTCATGTTAGGGTCTAAAAGATAAAAGGTAAGCGCAAAAATAGTTATAAGGACGTTTTTGTAAATGAAATCTTGTTTGGCAATCCTGCAACTTTATCCCACCTCTGGAGATACAGTAAAGCAAATTTGTTATGCAGAATCCCTTTTTATCAAGTCCACAACACCAGAAGGGAAACCAGATCAAAACAGACGCTCCGGGTAATAATCTAAAATGGCTAATCCGACAGATCTACATTTCTAGGCAGTTTAAGAAGATTTCTCCAGGCTCTCTCAACGGATGTCAGGAAATCCAGATGCGATAAACTTATCTCAAGGTGCCATCTGGCTACGGCCTCAGGGATTTTAAACTGGACTATGGCTACATCCTAAACCAACACACCGGACATATGGCTAAAATGGTTGGAAAAGTTGCAAAAGTGACTCTTAAATAACATAAACTAATCTCAACTTCATGATGTTGCTTGTATGAGAGATTTTGTCTGCTTGACACTCATGGCTTTATTAAATCTTTAAATGAATGATGATTATTTGACAGAATTATAAAAATTCATTTCAGTCTTTTAAATTTCCCAATTGGAATTTACACAAAATCTGAGCAAATATGAGGCTTTTGTCAGATTTCTGCCCAGTTTGCTTTAGTTATATAACAGCAGTATGACATGCCTTGATATAAATACAAACAAGTAAAGTTTGAGTGAAAATGTAAGATGTAAATATAGTAGAGGTGCATAATTATTAAAATGTGACAATGATCAGAAACAATACAAAACTGACTGAAAGTCAGGTCAGTATCCGATTTTGTTCTTTATACACTTTTTATTATAAAAAGATTGTAAGAAAAGATTTTGTACCATTCTCTGTTATACTATAAAAGTTAAATCAATGCATTAGAGATTCTCTAAAAAACTGATTAATATTTGTACATTAATAAAACCTAACTTTTTCTATATTTTAATTAACCAAAAAAAGCAAACATGATGGTGGCTGATTAGCTTACACATAAGATGGTATTCAGGTCTTTATGTCACCATGATAATTATGGCTAGAAAATGTTCATTTCAGTTTAATTATTGGATCTTTGTCCCATTCCCCACAGCATCTTCTGAAAACAGCACAACTGACCAGTGAGCTATTTAAATCTATTTTATTCTGTTGCCCTTCTTTTTTAATGATTTATAGTGCATTTCATCATTTTAATCAAACAGAGCACTTAAGCATTTATTAAAATTTGAAAATGACAACATAATGAAAAAAATTAGTAAAATAAAACAATAAAAATATGTTTATTATGTATGAACTTAAGGTCAACACTGATTCCTTCCTTCCTTCCTTCCTTCCTTCCTTCCTTCCTTCCTTCCTTCCTTCCTTCCTTCCTTCCTTCCACCAGCATAGTTTCTCAAAATACTTATTGCCATATTCCTCCCATCATACATTGTTGTCTTTCATTTTATTTATCTTTTCCATGTTTTATTTTAGGTCCTTATCATTAATTTACTCCAAAATCCAAAATTTACATGCAGCATTATTCACCGGAGGATTAAACCTCCATTGCTTCCTTTCAAATCCATGTCTTTCCGCAGATGGTCTAGGTTCAATTTCATTCCTTAGGGAATTCCTTCAATTAACACTTATTTAGATATAGCCCACAGACTTTCAGTAATTAACATGGTAAGGTGGACATTTTATAAGTTTAAGGAAAAGGAAGAAAATAGAATGACAAATGTAATATTGTGAAAAACAAATCCACTTTAATAACTCTTAAAGGTGTTTGGTTTTTCCGACAATGTTCCTTCAATGTACGAAGAAATATTGTAATGTATTGCTCCCAATTGTTCAAAGATAGTGACTAATGGCATCATTACAGTAATTTCCAAATATTAATTAAGTATAATTATGCTTCGTCTATAACTAAGGATATCAAAATCGCCTAAATGACAATTTCTCAGTACAATAAGTTATATCCAATATTTTTTATTATGAACTTCTGCACCATTTTGTTTTTGTTTAGTTTAATCCTCTCCTTGAAGAATAAAATAAAATGTAACTAAGACTAAGCGATCTATCTAAGCGATATCTGTTGCAATAAAGGCAGATGATACCTTATTGTGAAATCTAGAAGGGTTTGTCTTACAATTAAGTTGCCAGATGGAGAGTGAAGTGTTCGAGAAGAAGTGAGTAAGACTTTTGTTGAGCAAAGGAGGGTGGCAGGTAAGTACTTGGAGAGACCAGTCAATTTGAAAAGAATTGTAACAGAAACAGGTAAGGGAAATGAGAAGAGACATCTCAAAGAGAAAGCTTTAAGACTTAGAATTAGACTCAATTTTATTTATCCCTTGGGATTACTTCCTCAGGGAAATTCTGGTTCCAGTAGCTCATATAGAGTACAAAGAGTTAAAGCAAGATGTCATTAAAGATAAAAATATAACAGACAATATAAAAAGAGTGTATATAGCACCAAAAAAAGCATTAAAAAAGAAAAAGGTTGTAATGTCCTGGAATATGTTTCCTTTAGATATGAAAAATATCTGCAAAGTAGAGAGCTATGGAAAGACTTGAAAGTAGTTGACTTGTATTGCAGAGATACACTGACCTTAAAAATATGTAGAAAATTACACAGACCAGGCATGTGTTATCGCACAGTGAGAGAGAGAAGTTATTGCACAGGAGAGACAATAGGTAATGTTTTGCATAAGATGTCCAAGGAGGGGGGTGCTGACACTTGTCCCTCTTCCCATCACCTTCTCCTTCCTCGGAAAACATAGCTACAACATTGTAATATAGATGAAATAGGATTAACGCACAATGGTTAACTGCGACTAGGAGGCAGCTAAATCGATTGCTCCAGTCACATGGACACAATACAATCAAGAACTTTGAGATCTGGTGGGTTCTCACTGGCAGAAATAGGTTGTTCATCTCCACTGTTGCCACGTGCATAGCTCTGACAATAAATTGAATATTAATTATAACTGAATTACATTAAATCTAATTTTTCTGTATTTGATTAATTAGCCCTAAGTCTTGTAAATTTAGTCTGAACTGACCTGAAGATAGGGAGTAATAAATCACAATTATTTTCTGGATCCTTGAAACACATCAGATGTGGAACTTGGTACATTAACAAACCAATTGAATTAAACATAATGGTGCCACTTAAATCTTAATGTAATGATGTTGGGTTAAATAATACAAATGTACGTTTTTTTTTAATTCATGTAAAATCAGTTACACCATTTTCCATAACTGATAGACAGCTCAGTGGGAGAAGTTTCTAATTTCAACCACAAGGTGGCAGCATTTGAACTCTACCAAGGTTTAGGTTTATCCACTGCTCTCTCTTCATCCGAGGCAGATTTTATTTTGTAATAATTCGAAATAAAAAAATATGTCCCTTTTAAAAGTTACAAGACATTTGATAGAAAATAATTTATAAATCATTCTAATACATAAATATATATATATATATTATAATACTATATTACATGGGATTAATTCAATATTAAATGAAATAAAAGTAGTAAAAAAATAAAAATAAATGGGGAATAGAAAACATAGACAGGTTTCCAGAGCTCTCTTTTCATAATGCAGCCATTTTTGCATTCAATTGCAAATCAAGGAAGAGGTGGCTCTTTTATCCTGACATCATTGTTGCCCTGTCAGGATAAAAGGTGAGGAAGACAGAGCAAATAAATGAAACGAGCTGATCTTTATGATTTGTTTATTCATTCATTCAAATATATATATATATATATATGTGAATGAGTCGAGTTGAAACAGAATAAAAAGGTATCAGAAATATAATTTCTTTGATTGTGTTTGATGTCAGTTAGTCATAGGGGTGGAGTCCTGGGAAGGTGGAGGATCCCCTCCTACCTTTCTCATCGAAGTGACTAAAAGTTTCTTCTGTTTATTGGATCGTTTTTGACATTCAGAAACCACATAGCCGTAGTTATTTGAGAATAAAGCGATCTTTCTTTTTAGATACTTAGAAATATCTTCTATCCTCCTTTCTTATCTCACACTGGCCCCCTCCTCTTCCTCCCCCCCAGCGGAGAGGAAGAACAGACAAGTGAACAACAAGCCAAGGCGAGGAGAACAGAGGAGCCTACGCTGCAGAGGTGGGTGTTTTCCTCGGTCCTCTTCCTCTTTATGCTCGGGGTTGTGTCTCTGCTCGGGTTTTTACATCGGACTGGACATATTTCGGGGTATTTTTGTTGTCTCATCCAAACTCTCCACCCAGCCTGGTGGGGTCGGAGGGGGGAGGCAGGAGAAGTCGGCTAGGCCCGAAGCCATCCAACACTTCTGGATTTAGAGAAGGAACGCTGCTGAAAGTGTCTGTTGAACCGGTAACTGCCCCCCTGCTGTCCTATTGCGGTCCGTGCAGCTTGTTTGTGGTTGTTTGCTGGAACAGAAGCAGCTTTTGCTTAACTTAGTTGTTGGGAACGCAGCTAGCGGCTTAGCATAGCGCTAACCGAGCTAGCATGAATGCACACCTTCCGTTGATGAATAACTTATCTTGGGGGAGTTGTATTTAACTTTATTGTGCTGTAAGAGGCGGTTATATAGGAAACTAAAACTAGTCCGGTTTATTTGGCTAGGTTTGAATGGAAATTAGACTTTTTTTGAATATTTTTTTCTTAAAGTGACACTTAGGCTCTTCACTGGTTGCTGGGTTTTTGAAAGACGCGATTTTAAACGAGGCTTCTCCGCCTGTTATCACGAGATTTCCTGATAGAACAGGTGAGAGGACACGGAAGTCCCCCCCCGGGACACTTTGCCTCACCGTAGAGCTTCAAGTCAAAGTCCAATCTGTGCTTATCACCCTCTCCCTCCCATTGTGTGCACTGAAACGCCCACCCTCTGTGGACGGTTACCTGCGCGCAGCTCTCAGGTGAATATCCTCCTATATATATGAATGATCGCTTTGATTTTTTCTTTTTGGCGTGGTAACAAAAGGAGTGTTTGTTGCTTCATTATTTAGTCCCTTGTGAAGAGGCTTAGCTTTACCTTCTCCGCTTACAGTTCAGACTCGCACAGAGAGGAAACCTGTCTGCGCCTTTTAAACCTTTTTCCACATTCAGACTGTTTTAGAGCCGCATACTTTCTATTGTTGAAATGGGATTTTGTACAACAGCTGACTTAAACACTGTAGTTAGGTTTTGTTAACTGATATACACCTTTTAACAAATAGACACCAGTGTGGCCAGCATTTATAATCAGCGACTGCTGGTTAATACTTTGTTCAGGACCAGTTTTACTAGTGGGGCCAGGGTGGGGCAAGTTTTTTTTTCTTTCTTTTTTTGCTCTGCTTTATAGCAAACGAGTAAGATAAAAACAGTGTAATAGTTCATCATTTAATATATCAGGGGAGCCTAAATTTTACTGCTCTGTGATCCTATCTCAATACAGTTGGAGCTAAATATGAAATACCTCTCATTTTTAAATCATTAACATTTGTCAAATTGCCCGTTACATTTTCTGCACTAATGTAGGTCATTATATGAAATGGATTTGGTATTTTGTCTTCATTTCTCCAGGGGTGCTGACCCCCATCGGTTCCCTGTCTAGGGCCGCCCATGACCTGTCACAGCTGCTGCTTCTGGGTTCAGAAGCTGAGGCTCTCTGTAGGTCTCTGCAGCTGCCCCAGACTTAAGGGCAGATTATACTTCTGCAACCGCACACATCAAATGTCGCTTGGGTCTGGTCGCAAACCAGTTTTGCTGGTCTGGAATTTCTAGGGACGCACAGCAATTTCCCACCAAAGCGTAAGGGGGAGCCTATTCGAGAACTTTGGCAGATGGTCACGAAAAGTTTGGCGGCGCCGGCAGGAGTGTTTATCTTCCAAAACAACAATGGCGCGTCTGCAAGATACCATGGATGGATCTAGAGTTGCTAGACATCAAAGAGGAACAGGTTCTGTTAATGGAGTTGGCAAAAAGATCGATTAACCTTTCGTCAAAGTTGTCTGTTGTAGTTGTTCCTTGGCTTACCCCTGCACCGAATCGAGAAGGACGACCATACAGACAGCCGGAAAGGCATACCAAGGACCAATCACAGCTGCTTTTTGTCTGCGCACTTCCGCTTGAGGTCTGCGTGGGTTTGCGACTGTCCGAGGTGTAGTCCGGATTTTTTTTAAGGTGCGCGACGACTGTTGCAAAACCTCTTCGCGGGGTGCGTGGTCGCCCACAGAGACAGTTTTGACGGTTGCGGAGGCTAAGCGTTAGAGGCATAAATTAGCCTTTACCATGGGCTGCTTATCTGCTTTTGTGATTAAAACTCATTTTTGCCTCGTCTGTCCATTTAGGCTGGAAGCCATGTTTTGGTAGGTTTACAGATGTGCTGTAGCCAAATCCACATTTAGATGAGGGGGCTCAGCAATGCTCCATGAGATGTTACATATGTAGTATTTTGTTTTCAGATCAGATCATGTTTTCAGTGAGGCCTTCATAGGTTTTTAATATGCGAATAAATTGGAAAAAGCCTTGTTTTCCTTCCTCTCCACCATAATGTGCTGCCCTTTCCATTCAAACGAAAACAACTTAGTGGCTGTAAAAAGGAAAATATCCATGGTTTAAGTGGTGTAGATGCTTTTACAAGGCCCTCTCCCACATTTGGATAACTTCTGCCTTTTTTCATGTATTTATTTATTTTTCTCCCCTTGCTACAATCAGCTGATCAGTGAAGCATAGGCATACCATGCATATTTCTGTGTACACCCTATAGTCATTGTTGCTTTGACCTGCTGGAACATAGATGGAGTAGATTGAGGACAAGTTTGGGCAAGCTTAAAAAATGTCCCCTCTTTTGAAACTATGGGAACGAGGAGCGGCCAAAGAAAGGAAAACGGACACGACTTCTTTTATTTCGATGTTTCTTTTGTTGCTTGGAATCCTTCCGAGTGGCACCGTCTGTAAGACCAAAGTTTTGCTAGCCGGTTGGTTGCTTTAAGCAGAGCTATCATTTATGCGTCTATAATGAAAGGTTTGCAGGGAACACCATGGGTGTGTCCTCCTTCTGAAACCTTTACTGAGACTGGAGTTTTTTTTTTTTTCTTCTGTATTTGTTCCTTCTCTCTGTCCGTCTCTCCTTTCTCAGTTCTCTCACTTCTTGTACGCTGACGCCCGTCACACATTAGACCTGTTTTTACTTGAATGTTGAGTGTATCTGTTGGCTCTGTGTGTAAAGTGTGTGATCCAATACTCAGAGGAATTAAAGTTATCACCAGATAAGCGGCGGTGGAGTGAAACCTGCCCCCCCCCCCGGCACCCGGGTTAATTTCCTGGAAAGGTAGACCGATGTGTTTGGCAGCTGTTGTGCAAACAGTCTTATTGATTAGTGATGGTTCTCTGTTTGCAATTAAGGGTAGCAAATATTTTATTGAAGGATTTTAAAATATTGTTCAATTTAAGGAAATTGTTGGTGTTTTAATTTTTTTAAGATGGTGTAATTCTATGTCTTCAGAACATGTTCTCCTTAAACTAGTTGTAAAAACTGCTGCTATTGATTGGTTTGTTGTACTTCCTTTCCTTTTCCACATCCGCTTAATGCAGTCCAGTAAAACCTGTGTTATTAACCAGCTTCTAAACAACCATAGTTGTATAATCTCATCAGTGATCTGTAGAATGACTTCTGTTGAGATATTGAATTATTGATGCTCTGCTGTTGTGGTTAGCTAATTTGTTTTAAAGATGGACACAGAAGAGGAGTTTCTCTTTGCATTTCCCTGAGCTATAATTGGCCCTTAACTATAAATGGCAGTAAATCAAAGATCTAACTGGTTTATTAGATAATTCTCTTTAGACTTATTGAGAAATCAGATTACAGTTAATGAAAATAAGCATCATCTAAATGTTATGTAAACACGTTGTTTTATGTAGGAACTGTGCAGGTGTTATTTTGCCAGGTATGACCGAGAAGATAGTTTATCATTTAGATATAAAAAGTCTGAAAGAATAGAGTTAAACTAACAAGACTTAATGGAGATCTATGAATGTTTGATTGTATTAATCTAATCGCACCTATTTTTTTTAATTATCTCCGCTGTCACATTCAGTTCATTTAATTTATATAGCACCAATTCAAACATCATCTTAAGGCACTTTATAGAGACAATTCAACAAGATCATACAGTCAGTTTGGTTAAAAGTTTTCAGTCTAAGGAAAACCAGTTGATTGCATCGACTCATTGACTCGAATGCAATCCCTCACACAAAGCATGCTTGTAGTGACAGTAGAGAGGAAAACTCTCTTTTAACAGGAAGAAACCTCTAGCAAAACCAGGCTCAGTATTAGCGGCCATCTGCCGAGACCAACTGGGGTTCAAGGAGACAGAAGCAGACAGAAAAAGAAGCAGAGGGGGAAAAAAGGCAACTTTCAACCAGTCCCAAAGGCGGCCCTGTTCATGAAACACACAGCCAGGCAGATGAGCTCCGAGCCAGCTGCCATATCAGAGGATGAAAGAGAGTAAATCCACTTAGTCACAGTCAGAGAAACAGGACAACTCCGAGAAACAGGCCTAGCTCCAACATCTATAAACAAAGGGGTTAATGGCAGCAGCACAGCTGAGATTTCTCTCCTGGATGGGGTCACTTTTTCATAGATCCAGATGTATTTAAAAACATAATATTTTTACATTTAAGCTCTTAACAAGGCTTAATGTTTACAAGGATTAGCATGTTTGCATTCAGGCTTCTTCTGTTTTATGAGGTAGTGTTTCCAGCATAAACATTTAATAAAGATGACCAAATTATTTCCCCATCGACACTTTATTGCTTTAGTTGTATATTATACTATCTCTTTATGTAGCTTCACTTCAAGCTCAACCCTCAAATTCAGTGATTAAAATTAGACAAACAACAGTTCAAATATCATATTAAAGGCCAGAATCTTGTTCAAACAAACATTTGCTCCCCAATACGCCTTGCTTGGGGATACGAACCTCTCATATGTTCCTTTAAATCTGCTGTTGGTAAAATGGATTACTTTTCTCATTAGTTAGCCCTTTTGTTTTTTTTTTTGTTGTTTTTTTTTTATAAAACTGTCAGCGTTGCCTAGGGATGTCCCAATTTGATACTGATATATCAAATATATATATATTAGGGATGGAATGGTTTATGAA